AAAACTTTCAAACTCAATTATCTCAAAATCAGGTTTACGGTAGTTTCCGACTTTTCTACTGCAAAGGCCCCATATGTCACCTGTGGGCTGTCGATCATTATCACCATAGTCAAAATTTGTTTATTGGTCCAATTTCACGTGATGATCAACAAATACGAACAAAAAAAATTTCGGAAATTTTCGTTCGAGAATTCAGAAAAAAAAATTTATTATTTTAATCACAACTTTATAACAAATAAGAATCTTTGAGTCCACTTAAAAACAAACATTATATCTATTTACAAAGTAAAATCATTAAAAATAAATTACAGAAGACTGAGAAATCACGAAAACTATAATTAAATAACATAATTCATTCAAAAATTATTATCCAAGATTTCTATGATCCAATGAATAATTTTTAATGTTCTAAGAGAGCAAATATGACTTTCTAATAACACTAAAATTGTCTTAATCCAACATGTTAATTTATAGCTATAACTATTTCATAATCTTGTTATGAAACAATATTAAATATTCTAAAAAACCTGTAATAAAGTAAATAAGAATTAAAATTAAAAACCAATTCCAAACGCGTGCAAAGTCTTTGACAATTGACAATTAGCTTAAATACGAAATCAAAATGTACGTCATCATGCATAATCTGAAATTGTCACTAGTTTCACTATTTTTGTAATCGGAATGTCGATCAAAATTCATATTTAACACTTAAATTTAATTAGTGAGGTGAATTAGTGAGATGTATTAATAAAAAATCACCAAAAAATAATCGCGACGATTGTCAACCAAGGCAATGATTTTTTTTCATGGTAATATGGTTATAGTAATTTGTATAGTACGATACAAATTTAGGACGTGTATAACATGATTTGGAAAATTTCATAGCTATCATACCAGATTCATACACACTCCATACTAGTATAATCGATTTTTATAAAGATGGAAGTTTTTCGACCTTGCCTTGAAATTTTTACTATAGATCCTTTCGCCTGTAACTTTTGATATAACTCGGAATGTCTTTGACTTCAAATTCACAAATCTACGGCCAAAATGAGACACTTATTTCATCTATTCGTAATATTATAAAGGTTTGTCTCTGTATTTTTGGTATTGCATTATTTTATTTTATACCTCAAACAATGAATTGAATACATTTTTTAGGATTATCCTCCAGAGAGCATATTTAAAGAATTCCTTCAAAATGGTAAGCGAAGTTTCATTTGATTCGTGAATTTTACATAGAGTTCTTTGAAATATCGTTTACTCATCCCCGAAAAAAATAAAAATAAAAAAGCCGATGACGCCGGAGCTTCTCGTTTTCATGTAATCATCGACGGACGTTCGCATCCCGACCAAACTCTGCTTTGCGAAGAAATGAAGGCCTGGCAAGGCCCCGCCATTTTAATTTTTAATAATGCAATTTTCAAGAAAACTGATTTTGAATCGTTAATGCAGATACGTGTTGGCGGAAAACAAGGAGATGATTCAAAGATTGGGAAACATGGGTTAGGTTTTAACTCGTGTTACCACTTTACCGATGTTCCGTGTTTTATTAGCGACGATTCAATTGCGTTTTTAGATCCTCAAGAGAAAAACTTGCCAAAAAGACAGGGCGTAACTCAACGCGGGATGATTGGACCTTTTCCACAAAACGGTATTGGAGGATATACTGAAATGGACCAATTGGTTCCTTATGAAGGCATTGAAGGCATCGATTTCCGTTCGACTTTTCAAGGAACACTATTTCGAATGCCACTTCGGAAACAACCAAGTGATATTTCAGACAGTATTTTTACTACAGATCAAATTCTCAAATTGTTCACCGACCTTAAATCAACTATCTCCTCCCAATTTTTATTTCTGCGACATATCGAAACAATCGAAATATCTCATATACCTGAGACAACAATTCCATTACAAATGAATTCACTTTATAAATCAATTATAACGGGATTTACTGAAAATTTAAGAAAACAAAGAAAACGCGTCATAAACAATGAAATTCAAACTTTCCAAATGGAGATCGAACAAATCGAAAATACCAACACTATACAAAAGGAATCTTGGATTATCGCTACTGGCGCCCAACCAATTCCTGAAGATTCTCAGTTGAAAAAATATGCAAAACGATATCGATTACGCGTATTAGGTGGCATTGCTGCTTTACATAAAAGTTCGAAAGTTAACTTCCGGAGAAACTTTAAAGGAATAATATACTCTTTTCTTTCGTTACCCGACACCACATATCTGCCGTTTCATCTTAATGGAACCTGGGCTCAAGGCTCAGATCGTGGAAGGTTATTGATAGAAAAAGATAACTCACCGGATTTAGATCATCAGAAGCTCAATTGGAATAGACATATCATGCTAGAATTTCTCCCGAAAATATATTGTAAGTTTATAAAGAAAGCCCGCGAACTACACGAAAGAGAGAAAAATGAGGGCACCGAGAGCATTGATTTTAAAGAAAATGAGAAATTCTTCTCTAAGTTCTGGCCATTTCCACTCACTGAACAAAGTAATTCTAAGTACGTGGTTGAATTCGGTTTTAAAGTACTCGAACATATGATAAAAAATGAAGACTTTTTTGATGGCAGCATTGAGGACCGCGTAAACTCTCTCTTCGAGGACTTATTTCACGATCAGATTCAAGGGCTCCATAAAATGCTACGAAAAACCTGGGATTTAATTGGTATCTATCATTTTGAATATTGATGAAATTATAGTTAAATTAATTCTTAAAGTGGCTCATTCTTTCTATTCTATGTAGCGAATCAAAATTTCAAGTCATTGGTGCGCTTATTTCCTATTTGGAAAGTTTGTACAAATCCATTAGATGTAAATACAAAGGTACCTTTAAAACCAGCGTCATGCGGATATTTTTTAGAGTCTTCCATCAACCGATATCAAATAAAGACTCCAAAAATTTATTTGAACCCTATTGATAACCTTGATCGTAGAATTTTAAAAGAACTTGATGTTCCTATGCGAACCATATTTGATTACACTTTTGAGGACGTCGAGTTTCCTAAAGAGATTGATAATCATTATCTCACTTACCTAAAAGATATACTTAAAAAAAATGATATTGTTCAAAATTTAAAGGATAAACGTTGTTTTCCCAATTCAGTTAATAAGAAGACAAAGAAAATCGCCGACCTATACAATTATAACAACCTAGTTTTTCGGGCCGTGTTTGGTGGAGACTCTAATGTTTTTCTACATTCCGATTTTTCCGATTATATAGGAAGTTTATCGAGAATTGGATTTAAAAATGAAATCGATCCACAGATATTCAAAATTTGTGCTATTAAGGTCAAAGAATTGCAAAGGGACCCGGAACCCCCATCTGATATACGTCATCGGGGCTTTATCCTGGTTAATTATTTATATAAAAATATTAACTCTTTAAATTTGGAAAGCATTGAAGGAATTCCATTCATTCCAATTACCAAAAGTTTAGGCAATCCTTACAACTTACACTATAAACACCCTCAAGTTTTAGAATGCTTGAATGATGTAATTCTTCCCGCATATAGAGAAGTCGCGTGGAGCCAATTGCCATTGATCGCGGAAGATGTAATACCACCTCAAGAAGTACTCAACAAATATCCATCATTTGGTAAACCGGACGTTTCTATTGTAATCAGACATCTCCGTTTTTTATTCATAATACTCCGGATAGATGACAAATGGAAGACAGATTGGGCTGATTCATTTAAAAACAACATTTACGAGGTTTATAAATGGCTGGATGAAGAATGTAGTTCAAATGATGACCTTGAATTATCGGAACTTATTAATAGCGATCAATTATTCCTTAATTTCAATAGAAATGATGATCCATTTAACATTGAAAACTGGGTTTCTGCAAACGATTTGGTCTTGAACAGTGAAGTTCATGAGGTGAAATATGTCCATCCAGATCTTGCAAGGTTTCCTAACATGCTCAAAAGTGCCGGTGCTCGGGAAATAAAACGGCCAAATGTTCGAATTATTGTCAAAAAACACGACCAATCACATCATACCAACAGTACGTTGTTTAAATTTTTGTCTAATCCGACATTCTCATTGCATGACGTAATTTTTGTTGTGAATGGTGAAAGTATAAAAGCAAGCCGATATATGCTCGCTGCAAGCTCTGAATTTTTCAACCAAAAATTCACTTCAGAAGAATCAAGTCCGACTATACCAGTCTCGATCTCTATTGAGAACATTGAACCTAATTCGATGCGCATTTTGTTACGTTACTTGTATGGCCAGAATATAGATGACGCAATTCAAAACCGAAGGTTAAATGATGGTTACATGTACTTTCGAATTGCACAAGTTACCGATCATGCTCGAAATTTTTTACTATATAAGAACTTGCTTAAATTAGCAAATGATTTCAAGTTAGATCATTTGAAAGAGCTTATGGAGTTGAGACTATCACGATTAGTTCTCATGTCGAACGTCAACGAAATCAAAAGCCTTGCAGAATCTTCAAATGCCAATCAGCTGGAAGAATATTGTTATCATTTTATTCGTGATAATAATAATTTGTAAGAATGTCAACAAAATTTATATAAAACATTACAATCATTCGAAATCCAAAATCCAAAATTCATTTTCATTTTATTTTACTATTTTATACATTGGTCAAATCGTTATTTATTGTGATTGGCAGTAAAGATTGTGATTTTTTTCACAATTATGCAAATATTATTCTGAATATATTTTATATGACCCTGGGATTTAAATGGCTTAAGTCCTTGAGCATCATGCCATTTAGCTTGATTAAATATCAAAATATTTGTCCTACTAACTTTATAAGTCTGCATTACATAGAGAATTTATGAAACTATATTCATCCTGTCGAAGTATCGAAACTTTAATTATTAGAATTCATAACAGATGAGGACTTGGAACCACGTAACCAGCATTCCAATAAATAATAGCTTTTGAAACTTTGATAAATTTTCTATCTGAATCGAAACAATCCATAATTAAACGTGTTCATCGTTCGCTTATCATGAAAATATCCCTATACAATAATCATTACTAGTGAAGTTTCTAGCACATGTTCCCACGAAATACATAAACTATTTCATGCATTTACGTGAATTAAAACATCGCAAATAGTTTTCAAAAAAAAAAAAATAAAAGATTTGTATATCTTTTTGAATTACTATATACTTCTTTGAATTCTAAATTTTTTAATCGGCCTGCCTCTACGATCGATCCTATTTTTTTTAAATAATCCATGTATGGTAAGTCCCTTAATATAAGATAATATAAGAGACAAAATTTTCCATTATAAATTGGTGTATTTAGTTTGTGAGAAATAAATATAGTTCTCGTATATAATGCATACTTTTTTTCGGTGTTATTACATCGAGTAATCAATCGCTGAAGAAATAAATTATCAAACATTATAAACTACGAACATATTTATTAAACCAGTAGAATCTCTATCGAGTTACTGGCTGTTGTTTTATCACCCTCTTTATTATCACGCAATCAATTTCGAATTCATTCGTTAAGGCACGTGAGTATATTACTTTCCGACAAAATTTACCTGTCTTTCGTCGGAATTAAAAATTTACACAGTTAAGATTTTTTGAACAATTTACTTATTATTTTAATAACATTTTGAGTAAATAGAGAAATCATTCGTTTTTTAAGTAATTTTTTTTTTTTAAAATTTTTGTATTAAGAGATATTTCATTCTACAAAGGAATAACATATTTATAAAAATTGATAATGTTATTTATATTCTAAAATTGCTATGAAGATTTTATTAATAAATTCTATCGCTATAAAATTATTATAAATTTAAATAATATCGAGCTCGAGCATATGGAAAATCGAACCTCTCTGGTCGTCTTCTCAAAGGTTCAATGAATGCTGGTAAAACTAATAAATTAATAATCATCAATAAGACCCACTTTAAGAATCTTTTAATTTTTGCATTCTCGTTTTTATTCTCGCGACCGAAAACAGCCTCCCACAAGATGAATATTACACCGTGGATCATAAAGAAAAAGAAGTGTTCACCCGTCATATAATCAAATTGTCCAAGGATAATATACTCATGGATTATAGCACTATAACCTAGTGCGCCTAATACACCCATCATATTTGCGATTTTCCTAGGGAAAAATGGGGCCACTAAATTCCTAACTGGTAAATAACCCAATTCTTTGAAAAATCCGTTCAATACTAATTGCCAACGAACAGACCAAAAATCACGAGGACTAGATGCTAACCATGGTTCACTAAACATATGCTTTGTATTGAAAAGGAATGTGATAATCCATTCTTTTAAGGATACATATTCTGAAGGGGTGAGAATCCACATTTTAATTAAAAATGAGTCTTGTATCGATGAGGAATGAAATAATAAACGGTACAAGATTGCAGTAAAAATAGTGAATATATCATAATTCAATGAAATCGACAAATATATAAGTACCAAGGTATTAAAGTATGCTAAAATTAAAGGCAATGTGATTGCAGGAATTCCTTTTGTAAAAAATTCTAATAATCGAAGTTGATATGGTTTCTCAGGAATTTCTACTGTATATTTAATTGAAACGATCATCGCGAGTTCTAGAATAACCCATTTTGTAAAAGTAATTATGGTGCGATTGATGATCTTTTTGTTGATCTGTGAAGTCGTGGGTGATGCAATCATCAAGGAATTTCCTCTTTCATTAGTATTTTCCTTTTTTGGAGGAATTATGTAAGAGTTAAAGCGTAAATTGAATAATGTCCAGAGAAATGACTTAAATTCTTTCTTTTGTTTCAACTCTTCTTGATTCAAGTATGCCCGATTAGATTTTAAGAACATTAACATATTTGACCCGTATATTGCAGCATACATTACAAACATAACTTGAAATGTAGGTGGATATTTTCCGCGAAAACTTATTGGAATTGAAATAAATATAAGAAGGAGAGATAATAAAGTATAAAATCGAGTCCTTGAGTGAATTGGTTCAAATGTTAGTGATATAAATAATAATAATAGAATATAACATATTGAAGAGTATACTGAGGTAGGTAAATTTGGAGGAAATTCTTGCCATGTTGATAATGGTGAATTAAATATGAAATGTAATGTGTGAGCGATCGTTATTGACAGCGGTATGTATATCAGGTTTGATTTGGTGAAAGAGTCAAATTGAGACATCCTGAAATTCTAAATGTCGATAAGATAATTTTAAATAGTTGAAAATAGTTGAAATAAGCTTAATAAAATTTAGAGAATCAAGAATGTTTAACACTATAGAAATATATGTGTAAAAGTGTTTTCAAAATGTTTGATGGATTGATGGAGAACATCTTTGAATTTCATCGCTCTATATATAATTTTTTTTTTTTTATTTATTCGTAGATCTTCAAAATGAAAATCATTTTCTCAATGGGCTTACGCCAAGCATTTATATAATGGTCTTCTAGAAGGAAGGTTTACTTACAGTTAAGGAATAAATTTTACTAAATTTGGATTATAAATTCTGAGGAATTCCTTTCTTGTAAATCTAAATATAACTTAAGGGAAAACATGAAGGCAAGCTGCTTGTGTAATTGTTTATTGTATAATTTGTGAAACAACGATGCAAGCTTATACATTGAATAAATAAAGTATCATTACTTTGAATCAATGACTCGATAAAATATTGTGAACCAATTGAGTGCTTAAGCATTCTAGTGATTGTTCCATTAACTTTTAAAGTGAATTATTGATTATAATTTTTAAAATTGACGCAGTCAAAGGTATTGTTTAATTTATTGACTTTTTTATCATTAAAATAAATAAACTAAATTGAATTAAAATAAAATATCAGATTGTCAGAGCTAGTATTTACATGCTATTAAAATTCAAATAAAAATCATCAACCTTAACAATCTAATAATCTAGCAATTGATAGATTAAGATTTTATCATAAATCTATTTATAATCACGGTACATAACCCGATACAACTCGAAGAATAAAATTGCATAATGTACGAGAGAATTAAACAACATGTTAACAATCAGAAAACCTTTCGGAACTTTCAATTTATAAATCCTAGTTTGATACTTTAAAATATACATCATTAATATTTTACAAGTGTAATGGTTGCGGGGTGAAACTCTAATCCCATTTTGGCAAAGTCGAAAATCGTTTTGATTATCCTGACGATTTTGTATTACAACCGAAAAAAAATATTTGGCCAACTACTAGAAAAGTGATTGGAAACATTTTAAAATATGAAACAAAGAGCTTCCGGCGTTATTTAGCAACTTTGTAACGCTTGCACGAAATATGGCATTACTATGGTCTGCGATGACGCTTCTTAAGATGGTTCATGATACAGTAATGTATTTTTAATACTTTTTAATCTATATTTTATTTTAATTCAAAAATTATAATGAAGCAAGCATTGATTGGAATTTTATATCATATAGTGAGTTTTAATGTTATTCATGAAAGTGTTGATTATGGGTTAAATTTTATATCGTTGTTTTAATATCGAAACTTTCAAAAAAAAAAAAAAAAAAAATTTCAACCGGTTTTCTGTTAAGACAAAAAAGGTTTTTTTAAGTGGATTCATGAAACATCTTAAACATGCCTTGTTTATTATTTTTAATAAATATCATATGGTTATTTGCAAAAATTATATTTAATTGATGATTGATTTATGACACTAAAGGAGCTCTGACGTGCGATGAATTATTCTTTATTTCTATCTAAATACTACCTATGATTCTAAGTTATATTTAATAAAACAATAAATTTATCGGAAATTACAGTTAATTCGATTGATAATATTTAGCTAAATACATAGGTATTTCTACTAATTCAGGTCGTCTTCTTAAAGGTTCAACGAATGCTGGCAAAACAGACAAATTAACGATCAGCAATAAGACCCATTTTAAGAACCTTTTAATTTTTGAATTCTCATTCGTATTGTCACGACCAAAAACAGCCTCCCACAGGATGAATATAACACCGTGAATCATAAAGAAAAAGAAGTGTTCACCGGTCCAAATGTCAAACGCTCCAATTATAAGGTATTCATGCAATAAAGCACTAACACCGAACGCACCAAACACCCCCATAATATTTGCGATTTTCTTAGGGACAATTGTAGTGAATACATTCTTAACAGGTAAATAACCTAGTTCTTTGAAACTTTCATTAACCAATAATTGCCAACGAGCGGACCAAAAATCACGAGGGCTTGATGCCATCCATGGTTCGCTAAACAAATGTTTTGTATTGAAAAGGTATGTGATCATCCATTCTTTTAAGGAGATATATTCGGAAGGAGTGAGAAGACCGGATTTAATTAAAATAGGCTTAAAATTTTTTGTCTCTGATGAGGAATGAAGGAATAAACGGTAAAATATTGCGCTAATAATAGTATATATATCATAATTATATACTGAAATCGTTAGGTATATACATAAGAAGAAATTTAATTGTTGTAACATCGAAGGCGTTGTAATCGCAGGGATCCCTTTTGTAAAAAATTCAATTAAACGAAGTTGGTATGGTTCCTCTGGAATTATCATGGTATATTTAATGGAAATGAACGATACAAGTTCAATAAAAAGACATTTTATCAAGGTAATAATGGTGCGATTAATTAATTTTTTGTTGATTTGTGAAGTCGTGGGTGATGTGATCATCAAGGAATTTCCTTTTTCATTAGAACTTTCCTTTTTTGGAGGAATTATGTAAGAGTTAAAGCGAAAATTAAATAAAGACCAAAGGAATGATTTAAATTCTTTCTCTTGTTTCGAATCTTCTTGATTCAAGTATACTCGATTAGATTTTAAGAACAATAACATTTTTAGTCCAAATATTGCTCCATAATTTACAAAAGTGTTATGAGGTAAAGGTGGATATTTTCCGCGAAAACTTATTGGAATTGAAACATATATTAGAGCGAGAGATAATAACGTATAAAATCGACTCCTTGAGTGAATTGGTTCAAATGTAAGTGATAAAAACAATAAGAATGGAGTGAAAAATACAGAAGAATATACGGAGATAGGTAAATTTGGAGGAAATTCTTGCCACGTTGATAATGGTGAATTAAATATGAAATGTAATGTGTGAGCGATCGTTACTGACAGCGGTATGTAAACCAGGTTTGATTTGGTGAAAATGCCAGATTGTGACATCCTGAAAATTTTAACTATTAAAAGAATTTGATATAAACTTTACGAAATAGAATTACTTTATGTAAAAATGAGGAATGCTTTTTTTAACACTTATGAATTTGAAAGATTTAAATGAATTGATCCTTTGAATTCCACTTTATATACATATTTCGTTGCATAGACACGAGAAATTTGGAACATCATTATTCAATGATAATTTCATGCGCAAAAACGTCAAGAATTTCGAATAAATTTACTAAGGATAAATAAATAATGGTTTGCTAATTTTAAATTAAGCCGACATAAAATAGCTAGCCATATAAAGTAATACAAGGTTTTGAAAAATCTTGGGAAAAAAAATTTTTATAATATTCAAACTTTTTATATTGTGACAATCAGTTATATTCACTATTAATAGTTCAATAATGACGTCTTCAATTTATTGTAAAAATCATTCATTATGACTTCAAAGAGTATTTTATGTTTCATTTGTCGTATAAAGAGAATACGCCATTCATGAATTATTATTCGTTTAAAATTTTTTTTTCAATTTGCAGGAGAGTGCCAAAAGTTTAACATAAATATACTAAAGACTCATATTTCCGAAGGTATTTTTTTAAAAAAAAAATTTTTTCTACATAAAGAATTACCGTCGGTTGGAATGACGAGCGGTGTGATTTACAAGTAATATTTAAAAATAAGGATAATGGTAACCTATTAGCCATTTCAGTTTAAGTAGCGGGCGAACATAAAAATTATCATGAAAGATATGTCAAATTTGACAATTGGCTTCCTTTAAATACTATACAGATTTAAATCATTTTCAACGTTCTGCCCATCAAATCATTAGAATAAGATAAACCAAAATATTGGTACTTTTGCTATTAAAATCAAGTTACAAGACATAGACCGTTCTCATCACCTTGGTGATGCTCATCAATCGAATTGAAATAAAGATGGTGATCATGCTTCCTCTAAAAAAAAAGAAACTGGCCCAATTGGCTCATAAAACTTTGACCCCTCATTCTTTACCACAAATAAATTATTATTGTAGCAACAGCAATATCCTGAGGCACAACTTATAAATGAAACAGTTTGTTATTCTTTGCAAGGATTGTAACATAAAGTGTAGGATAATAATCTTCTGGCGACGGTCTCAAAAATCCATAACGTAAAAAGTAAATGAAAGAGTATGCTTGTGTGAACTTTTTTGGTTACGCTATCTGTGGGTCGGTTTTATTGACCTGAAAGATTTTGTCACATTTGGCTTGGCGATTATTGCGGAACGTTCATAGTACAATCATTTGGTTTGAACAAGAGACCATACTAGTGATTAAAATTAGCCCAGCTATCCGGTTAACCAAATTTTCAAAACAATTAACCGGTTAACCATTAAATAATTTAACCACTAATTAACCGGTTAATCATAAGTCCCTAAACCATACAAAGAAATTTTACGAATTGATAAAAAAGGCAAGCTATACACGATAAAGAAAAGTAAATTCGAACTAATTGATAGATCTCCGATTCTGTGCGATAAATGAATTTTACTACTCAAATTTTTGTTTCCTGATCGTACTCTTGCTTTATTTGTCACACAAGATTCACGATTTAGATTTTCGAAATGATCTTGATTACTTGGCACAAAACAATTGTATATCTACTAGATAAGTGAGATTAATACGACATATATTAATTCGCTTCGTCAAGAAAACAATTATGCAATTGCGGAGTGGAAAAAAAAAAATCGACTTGTATGCCAAATTTTAACATTTGTTAATTGTTGCGTCTTGAAAACTTAAAAAAAAAAAAACCTTCTGAAGAAAAAAAGAATCATGTGTCGATCTTAAATTCATCGTTTCACATGATTAAACTTGTATTTAGAACAAAGAATTAGGTGACATGTTAAATAAAAAAAAAAAAAAAAACTTTTTTCCTTTATAGATTTTAGGAAACTTGTGATAATGTTTGTTTATCCATTTGAACCAATCCAAATTCAAATAGATTAAGAATTTTTACACTTAAAAAAAAACAAAGGAAAATCGTTTTTTAAAAATAAATATCGAAAAAAATTTTTTATTCAAGTAAATTTTACGGTATATATTGTTCAACGTTTTTATTAAATTTTCCTTGTCCAATTATTTTTTATAATGAAAATGAATCGTATACTATTTTCGGTTTTATTCCTTTCTTTAATTGAAGATGTAATCTTATTTACGCCAATGGCTCATTTGGGACATTCAATAGCAATGCATGATAATAGATTATATTTCTTTGGTGGAATAAAAATTGATCCAATCGAGAATACAGAAAATTCAACAAATGATTTATTTTACTTGGACCTTTCGGTTAAATTTAATTTAGATTCAAAAGAAGGACTTCCATGGGTAGATTTAACAAATAAATCGGGAATACCGGTGAAATCGAGTTGGTCAACGGTTTCACTTGGAGGAGAAAATTCTTCGACCTTCTATTTAATTGGAGGAACCATGAAAGATTTTTATACAAGTGAAGACGTAAATGATACCGTAATATATGCCTATGACCTGGAAACTGGACTATGGTCAATACCTGATTTAATTGTGATTGATAAAGATAGTAATGAAATTGATTTGACAAAAGAATCTACTTTACAACAACGAGATTATATTCAAAGAGTTGTTGGAGCACAATCTGTACATGACGAATTAGGAACGATTTATGTATTTGGTGGGACGCAAGGTCCTAATGCCAATGTGAATTTCGGTGATTTAATTATATTTGACAGCAAACAAATGATTTGGGACATTTACAATGGCGGAGAATTTCTTCACACTAGAGTAGGTTTTACCGCAACACTTCTTTCTAATGGAATTATTATTTATATTGGAGGATTACTCGATGATCTTGGTAACTCTGGTAACTTAACTCTGGTCGAAATGAATCATGTGAGCAAAATAAACAAATGTTAACGTCACGTGAGTTGCGTGTAATTAAATTAAGATTGCTTCATTTAGATATGGACATTTGATACATCAACGCACGAATGGGTTCTTGAGGTAAAAAAAAAATTATTTATTAATTCACGATATATTGTTTTGTGCAATGGACATCACGTATTCTAACGACTCATTCTTTATAGATGGCCGAAGGAGAAAGTACTTCCGGACGATACCACCACACTTCCGTGTTAAGTATGCACTCGAGCAGAACATCAATTATTTAATATGTCAACTAAAATTGTTTTTACGCACACTTTATAGCATTTGACGGGTTAATTATTGTATATGGTGGAATTAATACTGCAAAACATGCTGCGTCGCCGGATATCGTTGTATTAGATACTATCGTGTATCCACTTCAATGGATAATTCCAGACGTAGATGAAACAAATAAACCACCTTCGAGAGCATCACACTCTGCAGTTTCAGTTGGAACATATATGCTAATAGCATTCGGTAACAATTTGGCCATGAATTAATGATATTGTTTTAATGCTTGTAACTAATGACACTTAATTTTATAGGAAACCTGACGTCAAAAACATCACCTCCATCAACTCTGGTCTCAGACATACATATTTTAGATATAACGAACTACAAGTGGATAACAGAATATTATCCTCGATCTCCGTCGATTTTTTCAACTCCGAATGTTGGATTCAGTTTTGGAATGTCACCTACTACGAGTATCATTGTTTCTATAAGTATTATTGTTGGCATTATGACAATTATAATTGCGTTTGTTATACTCTCACTTGTGCATATGAAAAAGTACGATAAACCAAGTGACAATGTAATAAATATAATTATATAGAAACGAATTTTTAGCATAGATTCCATAAATTAATTATTTATATATTTAAACATGTATTTAAAGGCACTTGTAACATCATATCATCAAAAATAAACATAAGTTGACGTAACTCTTATGTCAAAAAATATAATTCGGTAAATTGATTCGTAATAACAAAATCCTTTTTGATATTACAACCTATATCATTCAGAAGAACTTTTGTAATCTTGAATTAATTATCCAAACAATAAATTTTACTGAATAGCAGCATTATTCTGGATAATAAATGCGACATGTTTATATGGAAAGTTTTATATTCTCTTCTCTTTTTGTTTTAATTATAATAATCGATTAGAAAGAGAAATGAATGTAATTTAACATAATTCTATATCATATATTTTGAAATTTTTTTATTTTGTTATAAGTAATCACGTGATCTGACCTAATGCTATTTTTTGATCACTATAAGGTCATTTATTTATTTTTTTAAATGAATTCGACTTGAAATTTATAATATAAGTGATATCATTTGAGGTCTTTGAGGCCATTTTAAGGTGGTGCTGCTGTGAAGTAACCTTAACGTTTAATTGATATATTACCTTAATAATGCCGTTAGCATTTAAAAAAGTCGCGGTTCTTTGCAATAATTGCGGCCAGTAACTAGTAAAAGACTTATCGGTATAATTTATTGTCCCTTCATTTCATAATCCCATTATTATACTACAGTAACAGTTTCTCACACCTTCACCTTAATTAATTTAAATTTTTTGAAGTGCTGCACCATTATTTTCTTTTAAATTCAAACATATTAATCCTAGGCGTTATTTTCAAGTTGATATCACCTAAATCATGATTAAAAGCATCAAGGTTCATCTTGTAGAGTAAAAAGGACAATTATGTTAAGAATGATCAGAAATAATATATTATCAACTCCCATCACGCATTGTCATATCACTTGCCGTGACTTCTTCAAAATCCCGATTCATTTATTTCGGTTAAATGTTGCAAATGGCTTTGCACGTGCACTCAACTTCTATTTACCACTTTCGTAGTCAATTGTGCTCACAAAAAAAATCCTAGGAAATACGTACCTTCTCATCATACTCGAGGGCCTGACATTAAGCATTATTTGCAGAGGTAATTGAGATTATTTCTTGTCTATAATTATTAACATTACTTTGGTATGAATTGTTAAGTTATTTCAAGATTTAATATCAATAGGTGCGGCAGGAAAACGTTGCTGGTGCATAAATTTCTGTATCAAAAAAGTAAGGTATTCGTTAATTCATGTTACAATTAGTGATTTCTATGAATTAAAGCTAACAAACAAAATACACAGAACAAGTGAATGTGATTTTTTTTTTTTTTTTTTTTTTTGTATAAAAACGATCAAAGATGGGTAAAACTAAATCAGGTGGCATAATGACCAACGCATGCAGATTATCAATTCAAATATAGAAGCGAATGAAATTTCAAAAGCCATTTTAAGTATTGAAAATCTTATAAATTAACTAATAATTTGAATATACAAAGTATTATTTTGATTTGCGATGCCCATTCAATTCAGTCATTCTAGAATAGAGGAGTCTTCAATATTTAAAATCGTTGTCGGTCACGTATGTCACTTTTAGTTATCCTATATAACAATCAACAATTAATATAACTTTACACAAATCTAATATACAGTATATCAATCGCCGAAATTAAAAAATAAAAAAAAAGAATGAAAAAGCAAAATAAAAAACGAAATAAAAAAAGAACTAAAAAAACGAAAAATAAAGAAAAAATAAAAAAATAAAAGATCAAATTAAAAGAAATAAAAAAATAAAATAAAATAAAATAGTAAAAGATCGCGGAAACGAAAAAAAAAAAAAAATAATAATAAATAATTATAATTTCATAAATACACCAAATAACTGATAATATAAAATCAAATTCTGCTAAAATTTACATTTTTTCTGTCACGATAGCGATCTCGGGGTAGAATTGCTAGTTGTTAATAAGGTCATTAAAATTAGTATAAATTTTTAAATAAAATCTAATATTTATAATGATATACAAGTTTTACAATGGGAATAAATAAAAAATTACGAGGAATTTATAAATAAATTTATCAACTTTTGTATTTTTTATAGCGGAAAAATAATTGTAAGTCTAAAAAAAGTATATTTACTGTTATTTTTTTTTTTAAAAAAAAAAAAAAAAACTAAAAAGTACTTTTTCAATCCTTGCTATCTTAGTGATATTATAGAACGATACAATATTAATGCATTGATTTCTAACCGCATTGTTACATTACTTCATTTAATAAATCATTTTCCCGAATATTACATCAAAATTATCAATTTTGTTATCACACGAGTCTGGGGAGGCTGACATATGCGATTTCCTAGACGTCATATTTTTATCATTCTAAGCTAATACATTTTTTATTTCTTTCGAGGTAAATTATTTTATTTATCAAAATTACCATGTTTCTGCTATGGTGTGAAATTAAACAACCAACAAACCCAAAAGCTCAAAATATTTTTGTTAACATTTCCGAACCACCGATCATCATAATTGCCTGCGAACTTTATTTATTTTTTTAATATTAAAGTTAACCTTTTTGTGAAATTTTCTATTTAAATGCACCAATCAATTTGGCAGTGAAGATCTTTATTTTCTTTGATATCTTTATAAATCATTTAAATGCAGGTATAACACCACCAATCAAATCATGTAGATTTTTTATTTCTAATACATACATCATTTTCTGCCACTTTCATTTGATGCAGATACTCGTATTTTTAACAACGCGATCATAATGCATTTAGATATTTTGATTTTAACGAGTCCTACGCAGTTATCATAACAATTTTTAATTCTCAAAAAAATCTCGTTCTGAATCAGACGAAAAATATACGGAGCTCGGTATGCGCAAATTTCGTTATCTATATCAATATGAAATACGAGAATTTTGCGCACATTATTCCTTATCTTTCAGCATATTTTCCAAATAAGTTTTGTAACATCACCTTTTTATAGGGGTTATTTTATTCGCTTTATGAGTGGCTATAATAAAAACATATGGTCCTTTTCCTACAACTTTTATCAGATCTTATAAAGAAAAATAAAGTGGATCATATCTTTGCTTCCGTTAATTTTGGACGTAATTTTATTCCTTGAAGGCGTCATCGAATAATAAAGATTTATCTCTTAAAACGTATTCAAATCTATACCGTAAAATTTATATTTCAAATAATTTTATACCGATGCAATTTACGATTATTGATGATAATTGTCCAATGAAAAAAAAATATATTTCAAATGTCAAAGTCTTGGCTTTCTTATCTGTTTGTAACTTTTTTATCAGATCTCGGATAAACATTTTTCCGCCGGTAATTGCGAATAAAATGACTGACTCGTGAAAAGGGATTCTAACAATGATATTGCCTTGAATTTCCTAATTAAAAAAATTCACAAGGAAATGGTACGTATTCCTGTGGTTTATAAAATTTATAAAGAAAATGAGCCGTGAAGGTTTAATAATGAGATGAGCAAATCCTTTTACTTCTATAACAAACAAATAAGATTTTTTGATTTTGTTTATTTACTTGTTAACACTAATTAAAAATTCAATGATCTACAAAAAATTTCAAATTGTTACGAAATTAGAATAAAATTTAGCCGCGTGTCACTTTGAAATGATATTCATATGTTCATGTGTTTCATGTTTCATGAATTAGAACTAATTAGGCAATTCACCAAGTATATATCAATGATCGTCGGAACAAAAAAAAAAAAAAAAAATAGATGAAGCCATAAATGGTTACGATGAACGCAGGTTGAGATGTACCTCTCAAACAAATCATTTTCACGAAATCCGGGCACGCGTCAAATAACCATCATTTCATTCGCTTAAATCATTTCTTTAGTGTGCGAATTTAAAATTACCCCACCAATGAAAATATTTAAAATTTAAAAACATCGTTGCGCGTGATATTAGATGATCTTTCGGAATTATTGTTAAATGGGTATATAAATGAACCATCCACCTTTCTTTCTCCAACCATAATTTTCTGATCAAAAATGCACATCATACCTGGTAACCCTTCGTCAACTTCTTATTCTCCAACTACAAGTTCTCAACCCCAAACACCCTTGATATCGCAAGATAATACATCCCGTAAGTGTAAATTTTTGTTTTAATCACCTTGAAACATTTATACATCTGTAACTTTTCTCTCTTCATTTCACAGAACAAACGACGGTAGCTGCTCCAATCGAAAGAAGAGGTCGCAAAGGTTTTACGACGACGATGATGCCTCTGTCTGTTAGTAATTCTTTTCAAAATTTATGAGTGATACGTTATTTTACCATATTAATTTTTTTTTCGATTTTACAGAAAAAACATTATCAGAATTCATTAAATCAAAGAGTTCTCTGCCAAAGACGTGCTAATTATATTCGAAATTTGGAAATTAAAGTTACGACTTTTGAATCGTTATATTTCGATGCTCAAAATGAAATTCTATTGTTACGTGAAAAATTGGCTTTGCTTGAAGAATGAATGAAATTGATCTATCAGACTTGTTAAATAAGACGGCAACGCGTTGTAAATTTAGTATTGTAATTTTATTTTTTAAATTCATTCTTATATTCCTATAAAATGAATTTACTCATCTGTATTAATAAAGGAACATTCGATTGTAATAATTGTAAAGAAAGAAGTTTGTACCATAAAAGCATCCTTAAAACCAATAAAACAAAGTCCCTATCGTTTGTTTTATCGAGGTGATCACTAACAACGTTTCGATTCATTTAATGAATTTGTGTTACGCGAAAAAGACGACGGCAACGATTCTAATTAGTAGAGTTTATTCATTTTTTGATGCTGTCTAAATATATACATTAAAGAAGAATTTGTAATTAATAAATATTTGGATCAGTTTTAGAAACGGTTGAGCTAATTTGTATAATTAATGTTGCGCCCTTCTAATTGCCAGGTTCTTTATTTATACCATAAAGGCTAGAACTTGCCATTTCCATCTTTTCCTTGTCTTTAAATTCTTTAAAATCTAACAATAGTGTTATTGAATAATATTGTGACAACACATTAATTTAATATCCTTTATGTATTTTCGGTTGATAATTAATCACGAAATTTTCTACATATAGCGAATAAATTCATCGTAAGGATAGTCGGAAGTACGGTATTAAAAGGTTCTAGTGAAACATTAAAGTGCATCATCGTAAGCTCTTCATTACAATAAAATTTGACGATTTTATATATATATATTCGGGAACTTTTGATAAAGTAAAAATATAAAGTTTCTTTGGGGATGCATGATTGTAGAGTATCAGCCATTTTCCAGAAATTTCACGAATTTTTTTTTTTTTTTTTTACGGATGTTAAATGATATCATAATTTCAAAATTAGTAAATGTTAGAAAAATCGTAACTAAATTTAGACACTTTGTTAGATCACATTGTTGATTAATTAAGGTTGCTGACGTTTCCATCGAAAATAATAGTCGAATCGTCAAAAACTCGAAATTTGTATATTAAAAAAAAAAACCTGTCGAAAGCTAAAATCGAAAGCATTAGGGTTAGGGTTTCGATTTTTGCCATTTGCTGAAATATTTGAACACTATAATTCTTCTTTAAAAGAAAGTATTTGGTTTTCATAATAGCTTTAATTGATCTAACGCAGCAAAAAAAAAAAAAAAAAAAAAAATTTAATTAAATCTTGTTGAAAAATGACCGATTTCGCTTTTTTTTTCACATTTTAAATAAAACTGCAATTTGATTATCAATAACAATCAATTGTGTAAAACGTTCACAATAATGAATTGAAAACGTGTTAAATCCAATGGATATTTTAAATACCATTTTGGGTCAATGCATGACACTGTGTCATCTAATAAAATTTATCATAAATGTACAGTATGTCAATCGAATAATTAATAGTTATTCGGCACGAAGAGCCGAATAACTATTATATTGGGAAAATCAAATTTGATTGGTTAATTTGGGGCTCCGCAGGAGCCACGAATCACAAATCAAATTTGATTCCCAATATTATTAGCTACCTTATAGGTAGCGGTAGTTATTCGGCTCGAAGTGCCGGATAAGTGATTTATCCGGTGTCCCG